AGAAAAATGTCAGGCTTACCAAAGACATGTACGACAAAGTAACAATGACAGTTAGAAGCACATGGGGTGAAGTAGAAGAGTTCTTCTTGCGGGTATGAGTCTACCAAGGATCCGCACTGAACCAATTTCTGCTCTTCATGACGAGAAACGTGATAATTAATGATCTGCAGGAAGCAGCCCCATACTTCATGCTCCATGCAGTGATGATAATGCGATGTGCAGCGAAAGCAAAGAAGCAGTAGATGCGAAAACCGAGGCATGGAGAACAGCTCTTGAGAAGAACGGCTCGACGACTCGAAGACTCGAGAACGGCTTTCGACTCAGCGAAGGCAATTCAGAATAGATGGCGGGATGTTTCAGTGAGAAAGCAGATGAACGCCGTCAACCGGTGAAAGTAGCGGACAGCTCGTTGCATCAAACCCAAGAATTCAACTATTTTGGTTCCATCCTGCAAGATAATGCGGAATTCGACAGCGAGATACGAAATCGGTCGAGGAAAACTGGGCCCAAATATAGGGATGTGAGCGGAATACTGTGCGACAAGAAGGTATCCATAAGTAGGTGTACAAAACGATAGTAAGGCCGGTGCTTCTGTACGGAGCGGAATAGTTGGCTACCCTCAAGAGACACGAGCATCAGCAGAAGTCAGAAGAAATGCCAGTGCTCAGATGGATGCATGGTGTCAGCAGACAAGACCACATCCGAAATACCTGCAAAAGAAGTACTCAAGCAGTAGCACTAAATTCAGTAAAGCTGATCGAAAGTAGTCTACGTTGATTCGGTCACGTGGAAAGAAGACCCATCGAGTACGTTAGAAATGTGGTCCAAGCAGTGATACTGTCAAGGAAGAAAAGTTGGCTCGATGTCGTTAAGAATATCGGCAATGAGTCAACAAGATATAACCGAAGACAGAAAAATGTTGAGGAGTTTGACTTGATTAGTGGATCCCTGTTAAAGGGAATACGCTAGGAAAAATAAGAACACTTCATACCGGTTAATATACTTAATTGTCACCTATGTTAGATGTAGGGATGCCAGAAACATAGTCAACGTTCCTCAGATCATGTTTGTTTTTTGCGGTCGTTCTCAGCCGCCTGTCACACAATTTTACCAATGGTTCCTTCAGAAAGCTTCCACAGTCGGACTCTAGCGATTCTTGACCTCGAATTGTCCCTCAGGAGTGCCAAATAGCCGGCCTACATTCTTCTAGCATTACGGTAGGCGAAGATCACGTCCGTTAGTTCAGTCCATTATCGAATTTGTGCATTAGGAGCATGATTTTCGATAGAGATATAGCTCATTTTTCGCTTAATCGTTCTTTGCCGACCACCGAGCTGCTTCCTCTGGTAGCAAACAACGAACAACCAGCACTCAAAACTTCAGATCATGAGGAGTAGTTCCTTCTTCGGCTGCACCGATATTCTACTGTCAAGTGCCATCTATTTTTCAATGCGGTTAAAGTTAACTTTTTCCGATGGTTTCCAGTCTAGCGAATCCATTGGATGACCGAAATACACATTTCTGAAGGAGTTATTGGCCGTTCGCTAAGACAGACCCCTGACGCAATGTTTGTTTCTCACTAGTTTCGTCTTGGAGAGGTTTACCTGCAATATGAGGTGCGAAATGTTTCTGCCAGATGCCGTAGATTCTGTTGAAGCTCAACCGTGTTTTGAGCGGAGATGATGCAGTGCATTGCAACTTATTGTTGACATCTTCGCACCAGTGAATTAATAAGCAATACAAAAGCGAAATAGATATAAATAATCAATTTCTACCTTCAGCTACGTGTACATCAGCCAGAAGCCGTTTAACAGTAACTGAACAGAGAACGAAGCACCAGAACGGGCCAGGCATTGCCACGAGGTAAAATTCGAATGAAAGTTGTGTAAAAGCGTGATTAAAATTACGCATTTCATTCAAGTGCTACATACATTAAAATATTTAATTTAATCCTGCACAACTGGACAGGTTTAAAACACCTCCAGATTTAAATAAAACACTTCATCTTCATCTTCATCTTCATCTTCATCTTCCATCGCCGCTTCTCCTTTCGGGTCGCGGAGGCAGA